CAATCTTAATTCCCACCAATGTTCTGTCATATCTTCTACGCCATCACTAAATACACGCCATCTCCACTTTGAAGAAAATAAATGCGTTTATGATTTAATTATTCGATAATTTAATTATTTATTCTTCCATATATTCCAATAACATTTTTATATCTTCAAAAATTATTTTATAAATGAATAAGTAATAATAAAAACATGTGTATATCATACATGTAATTATACACGGTAATTATATATTAGTTTTTATTAATTATTTAATTATTTTATTACTTACTCGATCAACTATATAAGCAAACGGCATATAAGCCACTTTACGAAGTGCCATTAACATCAAAAAATTTATGCTACTATCATAATCATCCGTTAAATTATTGTACAGTCCAATTTTATGTAAATGTTGACGAGTAAAAATGGATAAACCAATGGCATCACTAACAGCTTCATGGAATCCTAATTATAAAATTGTTGATAATAGAATATATGTATAATTCATAAAACATATAAAATAGGTATACCTGGAATTGCTTCGTTTCGAAATAGCAATGGATGATCCTTGTATTGTAAATAATATTGCAAATGCGCCATTTCATAATGGGTAGATAATAAATCTTCCATTGTGACTCTAGTACACTGTTTTATCCTGCAATTATATAACAGAATGCAATTTGGAGTACTCTGCCATTTGATATGATATAAAGAAAAATATTTGTATTAAAATTAAATAAACATTAAAAATTAATTTTTATTGCCGTATGACGAACACTAAAAATAACCACCTGTAATCAATTTTATTACAAAAGTCCCACGCACTAGGAGTGCATTTAATTTCTCTATCAATAGGTTTTTCAAGTATGGAGAATTTCCAGAATTCCGGTGGCATCGGTTTCATTCCGAGCGAAGTAAAAAACTCTTCCGCTATTTGAAACATCCTTTTTATATTACGAAAACATTCTTTTAGAAAGTTATTCATATTTTATAAAACATGAAAATTTTGTATAATTTGAAACATACCTCATTGGAGTAATACCTTGAATCATCATATCCAAAGTTACATCAAGCTTTCGGCTTGCAGGAAATGGTTGCACTAACTCGAACAGACCTTCCCAATTTTGAGACCACATATCCCCTAAAACATGTGCCGGCAATGGCCCGTCCTCGCGTATTCTATCACCGTATCTTTCAATCAGTTTTGATCGTACATAAGTAAAAAGATTTTTATAAAGTGGAGTCATGGCTGACATTATTTCCGCCATATTTTGCTGGAAATATTCGTCTTCAAATAATTCTCTCATTTGATCGCCAGCATCAGCAAAACCTTCCACAAGAAATACGTTTTTATTAGTATTTTAAATATGTATTTTTAAAATGTAATTTTAACAAATTTTTTTATGTAGAATAAAAGTGTTTAAAATTATAAAGCTTTTCACCATTTAATTTAGCTGCTCGATTTGCCAATTGAACATATCTCAAATATTTATTTTGTAATTGTGGACCAATTGCTTCGTGCCAAGCATGCCAATAATATAATAGTTCGTCGTAATCTTTTGACTGTGCCATTATTTTATTTAAATCTAAAAATAATTTACACGTGAATAAAAGCGTATGTTTATATTTTATTTCTTTCATGTACATTTAATAAATTAATATGTATTAAATTAAATTTATTAATACATTGACTAACCGTGATCTAGACTCAAATTACATTCGTCATCAATTTGTTTATACGAGCATACTCTAGCTTTAACATAAATCTCTTTCATCTCTGATATCAAACGATGTATCTGTAAATTGAATACAATTGTACATAAATGAAAATGGTGATAGATAAAATCACAGATCATAATCATTTAATAGCATTTACTTTTTGAACATTTAATAATAACAGTACGAGTAATTGATCGAACAATTGTAATTACGTTTACAATGAGTAAAGAATTAAAATTTAATGTCATTTTCATTGAGACATTTATCTACCTCATTAAATTTATCATCAGTCAGGGAACTTCGACCTTTCGTGGCAATCATTTTAAGTTCCCTTCTTGCTAAAGGATCTGGTATTCGACTCCAAGCAAAAGTAACTGCTTTCCGCCAAGAAGCTCTTTCAAATTTTAATTTTAATGTTTGTTCATCCACCTAATGAGATATCAGATAAGATCAAATGTTAGATGAAAGATTCATAAAAGCAAATTATTTTTATTAATTATCATTTTTATTAATTAAATAAGTTTTTACACCATTTTCTGGTGATTTGCATCAGTAACGTTTGTCGCAAAATTCCATTGGGCTATCATCACTCTCGTACACATTAACGAAGCAGCACTATCATATTCTCTAAGGAATATAAGAGCATCTCCTAAATTCACGTTGAGACCCTTTAAATTACGTATAAAAAAAAGAATATTTAGAAGAATATTTCAATACTACTAGTTTATTAAAATTATTATTAGCAATATCAAATAACAGAAACACAAAGTTGTATTTTATTTGAAATAAAGAAATTAAGACAATTAAATGAATAAAGTAAAAAAATCCGTTTAAATATATAGTATTAAAAATATAATATATCAATAACAAAATTTTAAATATATAATTTAATTAACATATTTCCGAAAATGATAAAAAATAGCCTAACTTTAACAATTAAAATAATAATTGTAAATTGGTTTACAGTCTTACCTCTAAATATTTTCCATATGTCTCACCACATAACAAAATAACAAAAAAAGCAATAAAATTTCGAATTTCTATTGTCATTATTCTTTGTAGTAAATTTATCGTTGCACCAGTAATTGACATGACAAACCTTTTTGTATATATTTTAAAATGTTTTTCATTCTCAACAAAAATCTTATACAGTTAACACAGTTATGGTTTATTACAGTATAAACAAATCAGCACAATAATGATTTAGGAAAATATGAACAATTATATATTATATTATTTAAATTTCTTTAGAATTTCTATTTACGCCAATATTTTGGTATTAATTGTTTCACATTTAAATTACATAATAGAAGAGTAATATTTCTTGTGTGTGTATTAAAGTTTGTATAAATTGCATAATATAAAAATGTATTCTGTTTTTAGCACAAATTAAACCATAATTTAAATAAATTCAAATAACGTCAAGTGTCAAAAATGTAAAGAAATTTGAATGATTATAAGCGACATCCTACTATACAAACACAATGTTCTTAAAATTTATAGACTTTAGCACAACAATCAGTCAGTCGTTCGACAACTGAATTAAAGAGCCAAGACTCTCAATGCTGTCGTCGCGGTAAAACTGAATCATGGCAGAAAGAGAGATGGGCTTTTCCGGGACGGATATACATAGGCAAAAAGAGGAAGGGACAGGCACTATCGGTGCGTGAAGCGTAACTACCAACGCATCGTAGCACACGCCAAAATCTTTCTACATCGCTTTAACTTCATAATTACGTCATTACACATACACATACATATGTCACAGTAACTAATTCTAAAAATTCTTCAATACATCTGCCATATAAAAACAATATTAACTTCAACCCTGTATTTCCACAGAAAATTCATTAAATTGATATATTCATTAAAACAAAAAGTACAACATAATAAAGTTAATTAATAAAAATTATTTTTTATATGCATATATATAAATAAACCATATTTATACATATTTTGTATATTTCATAATATCCCAAACAGAGAAAAACAAAATTAATTTTATCGAAATTAGATAAATTATTTTCAATGAAATGTATTAGAAATAATTGGATAGGTATAGATTCTAAGCTCGTATCGTATTACTGAATAAAAATCCAAAATTTTTATAATAAAAACCGAAACACACACAATTCTTTAATTTTATTTATATAAATCTTAAATATAAATTCATGTATCTAAATATGTCACTTCAGTTATTATATATATTTACAATACTCTTTTAAATTAATTAAATAATATTAAAAGATACGATTTCTTGAGTGTCAGTTTGTAACAAGACTAACTCACTGCTACACTGCTACACTACACTGCTCTCAACTGTTAGAATATTTTCTACAACGGTATACTTAATACACTTAAATCTATTTTTTACGGTAGAAAAGTAAATAGAGACACATTATATCTTCTTGATTTCATGTAATTGTGTCTACTATTTTATGCGATTTAAATTGTCAATACAGTATAACGGATAGATATTTTTACTCTTTCCTAAAAACAGAAATAACTCTGAGAATAAAGATTAGCAATACTACATTTGTTAACCAACATAAAACATTATTTAAATTTATTAAATATTTCTTTAATAATTATGAAAATCTATTACTATGCACCAAAATGCATTAAAGGCATCTTGTATTATTTCCGAGACTTGAGTGTTATTCGTTGAATTTCTTGTTGTCTGCTTAGTCGTTTATGAATTCTTTGTAATTCCTGCAGCTTCACACGCAATTTAATGGAATCTATAACACTCGGAACCTACATATATAATATTTTTTTCTTTATTATATATAATTATATATTTTTTTGTGTAAAAAATTTAATATTGTTTTAAAAAAATCTCCATATAAATTATATTAAAATTTAATACATTAAACTGTAAACAATATAAAAAAATTTTACCTCAAAGTTATTTATTAATTCCATTATCGACTTAAGTTGGTTTTCCTCTTTCTCTATTTCATTCTTTATAGCAATTTGTTCTGATTGCAATTTTACAATCTCCTGTTTCTTGGAAACGATTTTGTTTCTTATTTCATTCATAGTTAACATCAGGCCATCCATTTTTTCCTTATATTTACTCAATATAATATTATAGCGACCTATAATAAATTCAACTTTATTAATTTAATTTGTATACTACAAAAAAGCATCTATAGTATCTGCCTAGCTTACCTACAATTCTTTTCATTTCAAGCAAAGACTGATTTTTTTCGTCTATATTTTGGACGCAAATTTGATTTTCTACGTTCAATTGTTCGAAATCTATGACGCGTAAAGCCTCGCCCAGTTCTTTTCTATGCTTCAGCTGCAACTTGACTTTTCTTATCTGACACTTTATGGTAGCCATCTTCAATCTGATTTGTTCTGTTATTATGTCGACTACTTTCAAGGAGTCTTCTATAAATCTACACAATAAATTTAAGTTTTTCATGCCTTTATATGATCTGTCTATAATTATAAAGGAATCAACATATAATTGTGGAAGTGAACATATAATGTTTATCATAACACCTGATAAACTTTTCAGCCGGTATTTTCCCCGTAATGCTATCTACGCCCTTCTGTACAACATTTTCTTCAAATTCTTCCCTAGTCTTCAAAATTGCATGAATGCTAATCTGATTTTCTTCCATTTGCGCTCTCAAATATATTTTTTTCTTTATAAACGTCTGTTCAAATTTTTCCAGTTTTTTCTGTAATTCCCAGATTTCGGTGTTTACCATTTCGATACGATGCATATATGTAATTCTACGGTTCAGAAAAAAAGGTTGTAATTGTAACTGATGAAATTGTAGCAGACGTTATAGTGTCTAGCGGACGGACTTTGTTCCTTCAGTTGGTGCTCTGGCTGTTAAAAGACTTGGCGTGACGTGTCGACTTGGCGTGACGCTGGTGACGCTCGCTGAATCTTTGTCGCGAACATTCACAAGACTTCCGCTTGTGCTTATAACGGGTGATGTGCGACTGTGTTGAGGTGCGATTTTTTGTACGCGTTTAGCGGTTTCTAAGATTTGCGCTATTGCTAGATAAGATATATTAAAAGGTAACGTTAATATCAGCATATCCAAAAAAGAAAAACTTGAAATATATTTGTATTAAGTAAAAAATTACTTTGAAGACTTTCAGGATTTCGACGCGCGAGGTACCGTTCAAAAATGTCATTTTCTAACCTCAGGAGGAGATTTGAATAAATAATATTTTCAAGGACTTGCCGTAATTCCGTTTCTGTCATATCTAAATCAATAAAATTTTACGTGATTTTTTAAATATAATTAAATCACATAAATTTTTGTATACCTTCATAATAACAGAATTCATCTTGTTTAGGAGTTAAAACTAAAGGTCCGATACTAAAGCCACTATCTTGTTGTCGTGACATATTTACGTTTAAAATCTTTAAATAACAAATCTTTTCAGATCATTAAAAATTTAACATTTCAATGTGAATACCGAAAATTACATAATACACATATATATATATATTTAAACAATTCCGCTTATGTCACAATTTCTATGTCACGCAAACAAATATATAAATTTCAGTTATCTTCAAGTATCTATATACTTTTTAATAATAAAATTTTTTTTGGGGTAAATTGAAACAAGTACACTTATAATGCCTTGCATTTATATGCAAATTTATTTTATAGTTTAAAAAACATACACAAGTATATATGGCACACATTTTTGACAGTGCTAATACTAAATTTAAATATTTTATTACAAGAATAATACTTTTTTAATACTATGTTTCACATTTATGTAGTTATTTAATGATTCACAAATTATAATTATCGATGTGTGTATTTACTTATCGATTAATATCAAACACGAAAAATTTATTATAATTAGAAAGGTCAAGACACATATCTAGGATTCTTCTAATAAAGCTTCTTGCTGTATTTCAACGTCATTGATGTATAAAACGTACGCTATACCGATTTCTTTTTGTTCTGAACTGTAAGATCTAATAGCGGCCGGTAAATCGCCAACGGAGAAAAGAATTTCTGCGCCGCCGTCCATAAATTCATTCTATATACAAATTATTATTTAATTTATATATTTAATATTAAACAACATTGGCTATACATTAAAACATAATAATAGATATTTCTATTCTTATTATTACCTCAACTTCCACTTCTTGTCCATTTACCCAAACGCTATGAGCGTGTTTATCTGCAATTGTCTCATAAAATAAGAATATTTCTATATATAATATATTAACTATTTTGATTAATTACCTAACACGACTCTATATTCTTCATTTCCAATTTTGGCCAACCAAGTTTCTAGTATTTTTGATTGCGACTGGACAAATTGCTTGTAGCTCTTTCCGTTCACCCACAACGAATAAGAATACTTCAGACCTACACAATCGTCATAATGAAATAATATATTTATCATCGCGATAATAAAATAATAATAAGGCTTTACCTGGCATTGGATCGACTCTGATCACAAATTTAGTATTATTGAACATAAAGATTTCATCACCGACTAGACGAAACATCCAATCTCTGTGAACTACATTATTACCATCGACTTTTACCACTCGTCGGCCAGTTGCCGTCCCATGTTCAAACTCAACCACGTGATTTCCGTCGCTTAAAGGAACAGTCCATTTAGCAGTAGGTTCGTCTGCTGAAGTTTCCAGATTATGAAGACTTCTAAATGGATGTTAAAATAAACGCTACATGTAATTTAAAAATAATAATAATAATAATACTAAAATATTGTATAATGTAATACGAATACTGTAATATACATATCAAAAAACGATATGTAAGTGCTCTCTCTGAAATTGTATAATAAATTAATGCCAAACGTAAAATACTATCATAAATATAGCATTTGTATGTAGCAATCGATAGATCACTTTTGACAATAATTACAGGATGCAACATTAGAGATTGTATAATAAAGTTAGGATAGTGATTAGAATATTGAGAGTTGAGAAAGTTATTTTATAAAAGTAACTCGATTCGTGCTGATTTAAAAATTAGCTAATTTGTAACTTTTATTGTTATTTAAAAAATTGACGAATTGTTATAATTTCCATTAATTTCTCACCAAATGCTGACAACATTTTGTTTAGAGTGCTAACCACTTATCTATGTCACTAATTGATCGAACTTAAGATCTATAGTATTGACTATATATGTATAACGTTACAAGTAACGTGTTATTTTCTAACTCTATGTATGTTCGCATTTCTATAAAAATAGAAAGTCTGTGCATACCTGCGTGTGTTTAAACAAAACATACATTTATTAAGATAATTACGTATTTAATAAGACAATTAGGTTGCTACAGTACAATCACGAGTATAAGTATATTATCTCTTATTGCGTAACTTACGTTTACGAAAATAAAAATATTGGTATAACACAGCAAGATAGATCAAAATAATATATGTATTAAATAATCTTTTAAAAATAAGAACATCACGTTATAACTCAAATTTGTGTATTTTACTTACCGAAGTAGAACGCCTGCCATGTTTCTTCTATTTCTGCATCTGTACTGGTCTCTTTATTGATCGACCTTACTGCGACTATCCTCGCAATCAATACCACATAATCGAGTCATTTTGTACGTTATACCATACATATTATATCTTTAAGCACATTGTAGCAAGTCGTTTATTTTTACATTTTTGGCTATATAATTGTATTTATTAATGAACATAAATTATTATAAATAATTAATTATTTATAATTAATAAAACGAAAAATATAAATGATAAATATCAGTAGCGTTTTTCGATAAAAAATCTGTTGCTTAATTAATAAGTGTTTAATTAAGTTTGATTTAATTTATAATTTAAAATTAAATGTCATTTTTTTAAATCTTGCTATTAATCAATTAAAACAATAAATTAAGTAGAAAATAAGTATATAATAAGTACTCTCTTTATTAGAATATTAAAATTATAATATATATAAAAATATATATATATAAGACAGTATAGAATGCATAAATTTAGCCTTATGTCAGATCAACTTCCAATTTACTTGTTAGCAGGAAACAATTTACCCGTACATGTTCCAAAACCGACTTTATAACCATCGCCATCACAATAACCTGGAAAATAATGAAATAAATGATTATGTAATTTTATATATACATATAAGAAATAATCCATTTACATACCATGAATAATTATTTCATCACCATCTTGAAGAAATTTTCTTGTCGTACCATCTTTTAACGGAATGGTATGTGTACCTTTCCAACATAATTCCAGCATAGAACCGTAAGAATCCGAAGTCTATAAATAAATATTTTATAACGTAAAAATTATAAAATAAGATTCATAACTTATATAATTTAAAAGAATAAAAGTTACGAAAAAAATCAGCAGATAAATAAGACAAAAGCTAATTTAATATATTAATTGTATTAATAATGTCAATTATAGCAATACTAAATTTTTAACTCACGTTTCCACTTATAGTACCAGATCCCATTAAATCGCCAGGATTAATATTGCATCCTGTAATGGTATGATGCGCCAATTGTTGTTGCGGAGTCCAGTACATGTATTTAAAATTGCTCCGGCATATGGTCGTGACTATACCACTTGATGCTGCAAAAAAGTTTGAGTCATTTTACAATAAATTAAAATGTTTAAATAATATGTACAAGAATATGAATAACGACAAAAGTAATAAAAAGAATAACAGCTTACGTTTAAGATCAACTTCTAATTTAATATCGAAATTACAAGACTCGTCATGTTGCAAATATGGAAACGGTTTTGGATCTTGAGTCATATTTGGTACTTTAAAAGGTTCTAAAGCTTCCATCGTAACGACCCACGGAGAAATTGTTGTGCCCAAATTTTTTGAACCAAATGGTCCTAAAGGCACATACTCCCATTTCTGAATGTCCCTTGCTATACAAAATAAGAATAAAAATAAAAAATCAGAATAATAATTCAAATTAATTAAAGTGCAAAGTTCTTTTTCAATTTTATCGTACCGCTCCAATCGTTCATCAAGACTATTCCAAAGATACGATCATACGCTTTAGAAGCTGGAACAGTATCACCCAGATTTGTCGGTGGACCACCGATAAAGAAAGCAACTTCGAGCTCGAAATCCATTAATCTACAGGGCCCAAAAACAGGTGCCGCACCTTCAACCGGAAGTGTTTGACCATACGGTCGTCTGATGGGTGTGCCTGACACAACAACGGAACTTGCCCTTCCATGATAGCCAACTGGCAAATATTTCCTACATACATGAATATTTTATTCTACATAATAGAAATCATTTTTAATGTATAAATGTATAATAACATCAATACGAATTAAAATTACCAATTTGGCATCAGCGGGTTTTCTTTTCCACGAAACATGATACCGACATTTGTAGCATGATTAAGAGATGAATAAAAGTCCGTGTAATCTCCAATTTTGGCTGGTAAATGCATTACAGCATCTTTCTGAGCGACAAAAATTCTAAGAAAGATGTTACACGGGGATTATAATACGATTTTAAGAATTTGAATTTATAATATTAATTTTCGTTTATTAATTTCTTACTTAGAGCGGATTTCTGGATCTTGCAAAGTATGATTATTAACTGACAACAAATTTTGGAGTTTTGATCTTGCTTCTAGCCATGCTGGCCTTCCAAGAGACATAAAATCGTTTAAACAATCTCGATGAAATACATCTTGCTTACTTTGCAACAATGGTCCATCGAAATAATTTGCGATAGCACTTAAATTCAAAATTTGATCACCAATTGCAACTCCTATTTTTTTCTCTGGCTAAAAATATTAAATACATATTATGTATATTATCTATATTATAATATATACAGCTGTTATATAATTAATAAAATATTATTATAATTCTTATTTTTTAATAGTACATTCAATCTGACAATTTTGTTATAGTAAAATATAAAATAATATACAAAATGATATAATTTATTGGACTTTTTTTAGGAAGATATTAAAATTATCGAGCGACAGTAATATACCAGCCGATGATACCACAGTAATCATACAACATATATAATACAGAAATCTCTACTAGACGGCGTTGAATGTGAGCAAGAATGGAATGCAAACATTCCATTCTTTGATGTTTATCACATGAAGAAATATGCAACCTAATATTTTATTGTGCAACTTTTCCAACAATCTCTTAAAGAAGTTATAAAAAACCATAAAGATTATTATATTTCATCACAATATAATCCATGACTCCCTAAATCATAATGACGTTGAAGATTCGTAGTTATATATTTATATTTAGAATTGTTTTGAAATCATATGACATAGTACAATTTATTGGATATACGATATAATTGGTTTTTGCTCACCTTATCTTTCGTTGAGAAGATTCCGTACGGCAAATTTTCGATCGGGAAATCGCTAGAGGCCGAGTAATTGATGAAAGATTTCATGGTTACAGCTACTACGAACGTCTGTCCGTCGAATTGACTTCTGTCGTATGTGCTACTAACGACGATCTGATAAACAGCGTGAGATCCCACCAAGCTAGGTTTGGAAGTAATTTATACCTGTTTACGATGTTCGATATCGGCAAGCCTCTGGTTTAACTAGTTCCGTTCATTAATGCAATGAAAATCACTTAATCGACTATTCTAATTTTACCTTGAACGTTGATCGGTTAAACTTGTTAAATACGATAAAATTAAATCGACTATTGTTGTGTAACATATAATACAATATAATATACGTATGTTCCAGCTAATTGACAATTCTTTGATATAAATAAACTTTTTGAAGTCTCTAGTTATTTTCTTAAATTATAATGGGAATTATTTTTACGTAAAAATAATATAGTGTCGATATTTTACGTTTAATGTGTTAGTCTTCGCACGTAACTTAAAAAAAAGAAAATAGAAAGAAGAGATTTATATATGATATACTAATAATTTGGGATAACAGCAGTTTATTAGACATTGATATACAGTGGATAATAAGGGCAATTAGGTGTAGGCGGTATTCGAACAACATAGTTATGTGCTAGCAAAGATCCTACATCCGCTGCACATACTCTTGACTTTCGCTTCTCGTTCACATATCAACGACATCTTACGCACACGCATGTACATATATATATTTTGCTATGTATATATATAAATGTATTTCTCATTACAGTATACAAGGACAGCTTTCACCTCGAAAGTATTTCGAGGTTTTCTTCGCTAAATCACTAATCAATACTCTCATTGTTTGGAAGACGTGGGACTTTGTTGTTGTTTTGCTTCGTTTATCAACTTAGACTAATAATTAGACTAATAATTAGACTAATAATTAATGAGATCGACGACTTCTAAAGTCGGCGCGATAAATCGCTAGTAAAGAAATTGAGTCATATTAATGACGTGTTCATCAGAGGATGAGACGATATTCTACTTCGTTAACACAATCGAAATAAAAGATTTAATCAAATACATACATACATACGTATTTCTCGTCGATGTAGACCGTCAGAAAAGGCATAACGAATTTATAAATATTATTAGCACAACGCTTTGAATGTAACATTGAGGTTTAATATGTGCAATATAACATATATGTTATAAAAGCAGAGTGTGGGAGATGGCACATGTGGTAAGAGTGCATTTATACAAAAATGTAAATTGTGCAGTGCATTTTAAAAAATGTACATGATATTTAAATATATATGTTACACTAAAAAAACGTACTAAATTTTAATAAATATTTGTTTTAATAGTACTAGATGCTTATTGAATTTAAACATATATTTATTTGATACAAGAATTATTGATTTAAATTATTACTTTTTACAGAGTCAATTTATTTACTGTAACTAAACGTTAAGTTAGTACTATTGAAAAAAATGTGTATTACGATTTAATAATTTTTTTCAGTGTATATGCATAATGCTAATATAAGAATTAAAAATATGCTGTTTATTTTAAAAAAAGTTTACATTTAAAATTTTATATCGCGCCAACAATATGTAAAATATTCATATGCGTTAAAATGGCATTTTATGTACAAATTTTTTTATAATACAATTTACTGATTATCTACAAAAAATTAATATAACATTTGCAATTTTAAATTTTATAAGTAGTGTAATTTATCTAATAAATTGATATTTTAATACTCTTTACTACATTAATATTATTACTAATATCTATTATACTGGCATTAAACCGCAAATATGTGTAAAAATATTTTACACATAGGAAAGTACGGTACCAAACGTGTCAGTATATTTGCTAATTATACAAGCAAATTAAATAATTAGGAGTCTACAGGGACGAGTATACTTTCCGTACAAATATATCACTCTTCGCTTAAAAAACGATCATTTACACGGGAATTAATAAGACGTGTGTAACCACGAGAGAGATTCGTTTATGAGTAGCATTGATTACTATGTCGGCAGTGCCAACGACTATGTCTAAAAAAACTCGTAACGCCGATAGAATTATGAATAATAATTAACAATGATTCGATAGAATTCTTTTTTACAGGTATCGGTTTGCTGGTCAGATGAATTGTTTAATTCATTTTCTTCTCGAAAAATACATTTTGTCCCTTCTTTGGCGCATAGTGATTGCAAATGAATTGCTTGAACTCTGGATCAACAAATACAATTTAATTTTATAGTATTTCAAATTTTGGCAATATTAGTTGCAATTTGTTTAAAAACTACTTTATAAAAACTTTTATATTTTCTAAGCAATATAAAATTATCATATTGAAAAAATGTTTATATCTTTATTTTAAATGACAATAAAAATTCTTATTAATTGCTTTTTATATACAAATTTTATATAAAATCAGACAAAGGATATACATTTTAAATAGAATAAAAATAAATTTTTTATTATTCTTTTTATCCAAAAGTGTCAATACACTATAATAAATTACTTTCTTTTTAAAGAATTTTATTTTTATTTGTCTCATTGAGGCAGAGTTCAGCATATACACATATATATAATGCGCTTTGTATTTTACACATTACAAACATTTCATATTGAATTGACATCACCTGCTATAATCCATCAGCCACAAGCGCTTTCATTTAAATACGTAGGAATAACATCTTCGGCATTAAATTACAAGTAACAGGATGTATCGATTGCTTTCTAATTCGATTAATCCTGTATTAATTTAATCCCAGCACTAACTGCGGTTCCCCATCTAAATATATTCGTCTAAACTTAATTGTTACGACGGCACGGCAGTCGTCGGCGGAAAAAGAAACGCGGTGTAATACGAAGATGCATGTGTACATAAATACACTTATAATTCTTCAGTAATTACATCTAGATATTTCATATTACTTACTTAAATATCTTTTTCTTGTTATTCCGTATTGGCGAGTGAATCGAAATCTATAGAATTGTTCTATTGCAAGTGTCAAACGAATCGAAACGCTTATGATCGTCATTTGTAATAAATTCACTGTGTTTGTAGTACGTATCTATTATTTGTATGATTTCAAATAATGCTCACAAGAGGAAATGAGTTATAATCAATAAATATCATAAAATTTTTTTTCACAAGATTATACTTTCTCAAGAATTAATATAAGAGCTAGAATATTGAAAATGATTGTTGCATCGCACAATTTATTGTGATGTGCAATCATTACTTTCAATAGTGTGTTTATGACGTTTGAATAACATTATAAATGTCTAACAGAATCAACGAACTAATTATAAAGTGGCAACCGTTCGCACGAATATTCGAAAAAGCATGTACTTTCATGGGTTTGTGTTTTGTATTTTTAAAATTTCAACACTAAATATATGTATTGATATATTTATATATTTAGACTTTTTTTAATATATCTATTATATATTAAATATATATTAATACTCTCCTCTCAATTAGAACTGTTTAACAGTAAATTATAATATACATATATTTTTGTATATGAAGTCCATCTGGTAACGTTATCTTCGCAAACGATCGATAAATTATAAACTTCGTCAATTATAACAAAATAACGCCCGGTTAAATCTATTTTCTATGGGAAGTAATGTCGTATTTGTGCTATCTATCCCTAACGCTACGGCGATAGAAATTTTCTATTCCGTAGCTATTGGCTGACGATTCGTTGCAAATCGTACAATAGGGACAAAGCAACATTTAAGCTCCGATAGATTAGCCACGCCACAGCACTTACAATTTATATAATTCTAAACGGATTTTTACACAGTCTGAAAAGAGACTTGTTTTCGTTCCAGTATATTATGGACAAACTGCAGATTCTGATTAAATTATGATAAATATTTTTATTTGAATGCGTGGGAATTTATTTTTGCACGACTTTAATTAATATTTTGTATAATTTTTAACAAAGTTGTCAAACAATTGTAGCTACATAACAATAATTAAATAATTTAAACTATTAAGAATCTTAGAAATATTTAAAATATCTAATAATCAATGGACAAAAGGAAAGACTGATAAAACCGTAAGACACAGCAAATGGTGTATGTATATAGAATTTTCAAATAAACTGTACAAAAATTAATTAACAAATTAAATATATTTAATTTAACATTTTTATAAATATAAAATATTTGCAAGAAGAAAACATTTTTTTCATAAATTTAAAGAATCATTTGTAACTTTGTGCTAAATATTTGAAAATTAATTTGATGTCATGCACAAAATTAATATAAATACTAAAAAGAGAGATTTTCGATATGTAAATTTTGAACGACATCTAATCCGCGTTTCAAGATGAAAATTTGTATTTAAATGTTTCATTTGGAAAGCGGATGTACACTATTATTGCTTCGATTAATGAATAATCGATCATTTTATCACTTGCATAAATATTATCGCGCATCGAGCAGCAAAAAATAACAAATCTGCATAGCTTACGGCCGGAAGCATCATTAACTTTGTAACTTGACTCATAATTTCGTTTTTCTTGGATATGCCGTGTATTTCGTTTAAATCTAGAAAACTTATATGCTACGTATATGTATTTTTCGACGTGCAGGTAGCTTCTGCAAACTGGTCGCAGAATAAAGAAGCGTTTAACTACACATCAATCCTTCACTAATAGCCTTTTCCGTTCAATAATGGAGATTTATACAAAATTAAATTATTCTTCCGATAATTAATAAATTAATAATATATATTCTGATAATTTTAATAATATAAATTATACCGATTCATTCAGATTTTAAAAATATGTTATGGAACAATGAATGAATGTTTACGGGCAAATGTGTAATAATCTACAAATTCACAAGAAATGTTTTCCTTGCTCAATCTAATCAAAATTTAAACAAATACTAAATTAATTAAAAATTAATATCTTTACGCCATGTAAAACGAAGTTTACAAAAAATTATACTATAATTTTAGTTAATAATAAATAAAATCTTATTCAAATAAAATAAACAATTTACGTCATTTACGTTAATAAAATGTAACGTCATTTTGATAGAAAAATTAGAGAAAATAAAATCGCTTATTTTTTCGTATACCTTACGTTCATATAAGTGATTCTGAATTTTGTGACCTGAGTCTCAAACTTATAATTTTTTTTAGAACGAATAGCGAAAAACGCACTCATTGTCAGATAAATCACGGATATCGGTGTACCAGTCGGTTAATCGCTGCACATCGTATTAATGCCTATATTGCCTATATGTGGACAGATTTCTTACAAGTCATGGCCCAATCGATCCATCTCAGCCAGAAGAAAATCGACGTCGGCTTCCGTTACGGCGGCACTGGAAATGATGTTCCTGAAGAAATTGGGCCGTCGATCATCCGGTTGGTAACCAACCATCAGAGTGCCAGCTTGCATCATGCGACCTTTCAGTATTGGACATATCTAGAAGCATAAACAGTTTTCTCTTGTGCTAAAATTTTTTCGAAAGAAACTTTTAAAATTTTCTTATAATGTTAACAAATTTGGCAAAATTATTAGATTTTGTTCAGCTTCATCAAACGTTGTACTTTAATTGTATGTCTTTAAACTCATCAAACGCACCTCGCCTAAGATTTTTATTCTCTCTGCGGTATGTGGCATGTTTCGTACGCGCGTAGGTAGATACCAAAAACAGACGTTCACTAATTCAGGTTCAAGAATCAGGTAATATTTGTCGGGCATTTGTTTAATCCTTCTAACCATGTATTCCGCCAGTTCCATCAGCCGATCCATGTGCTTCTCGAAACCCTCTGTTCCCTAAATAATAAAGTAACAGATTCATTTCCCAGTTTCAATCACTGTGGAAATACAGTCTATATGTTACTGAGAAGAATGCCGAGGAGAATGTCGACGTCTAATGAAAAAGCATAAAATCGTCTTTCTGTAACAATGGATTTTGTACCTTGGCGCGCCATTGCAACCAAAGCTTGAAAATGTCGTTGTGACGCCCGCATTGAATGACCTTATCGCCAGTGTCGTACCTCACGTCGTACAGCTTGTCCGTCATAAACAGGTATTCCGCGGACATTTGGTTACAGCTGATCAGTAGCCCCTGCAAAATGGAAACAGCTCTCGCTTTCAAAACAGACGAGAGACAGCCGCCTATAACATTTTTCCGATAACGAAGTGTTTCCGGAATTGTTTCGCATGGTTTACGATTGACAGCCCGCCGGAGGAGGAAGAGGGCGAGTCCGTCTGGGTCGATACGACACTCCAACACATGCGCGTGAGGAGGAATACTCAGGATATTGAATTTACAAAATGGCGGATATGCCGCACCAATGTTGCACTCTATTATTGACTACCATTGTTTTGGACAAGATTATTTTTTAGTCACTTCATTATTTATGAATGCTCTCTATGTCACTTAGAGAATTTTATACAACATTGATTTACGTAACCAACGAATATTATATTTTCAAGCTAAAAAATCCTTAAATTCTTATATTTAAGCATTATCATTATATTATTACTTATTGATTTCTAATGTTAACGCTAGCGATAGTAAAGAATAATTACTTAGTTATTACAGCTATAAATATTATATAATAAAAAAATTAATATTTTTACATACGCGACTTGTAAACCTATATTATTAAATAAAACAACACACAATTGTCAATGTTAACAAAGCATCCCCCTTGGACGTCGCGCTTCAACGTCAACGGTAACGCGGTCCGACAAAAGCACGACGTGTTCTCCCCCGGATATCTCGCGGCAGCCGGTGCACGGAATTTTAATATCCGAAGGGGAAGTTCGGAGTTAGCAATAACTGAGTCGCGTGGGGAGATAGACCCTCCCCGACAGCGCGCGCTGTAGACGGACGGCAACATATGTTATCTCTTAGTTTAATTAAATTCCTGTAGTGCCAAGCGCCCCGGCACGTAGGTCTACCCCTTGGAATGCGACTAGTGTTGCCTCGTAGCCCTTGCGCGATGCAGGAATTTCAGTGCTCTCGGAAACAGGGAAGATTTCTAAAAGTGCAACGCCTTAAACGTGGATGCAATGTCACTGTTTATTTGTGCATATTATTATTTTAAATATTTACTTCTTAACATCGGTCGTGTGAGAATAAAAAGTACTAAAGAAGAAAAAAATGTCAGAAATGTCGAAGTGACATACAAATGGCACAAATAAGGAAATGATATTGATAATATTTTTTTATTAATAGTATTTCCAATCGAATTAGATGACCGATAATCATTATTTATAATTTTTGTAATATATAGATTTTTTGTATTTATGAAAATATTGTCTAATTAATGACGTTTAATTTCATAACTTACGTCTTCCTTAAAGTGAATACTGGAACATTGAAGCAGAGCTCCCATAAGTTTATGTGGATTCCATGTCACTGAATCAGCTCTGAAAAATCATACATTGTTGGATTTTACAAAAATTTCAAATTTTCTTTGATATATAATTTTCACACTTTTAAAAGATATTTAATGTTTGTACTTTTAAATGTGGAGTTTATGTGGTAAAAGTAAATTAATGTATTTATTCTTCTAAACGTTAAAAGTACCATCAGATTTTTTTGTAAATGTACAAAGTATATTTTAGACTAAGAAAAACTTCAATTTTATCTCTTTAATAGGAAAGGTCTCTGTGATAACAAAATATATCAAATAAGCCGTACATTTTACGAATATAGTGCAGAAAATTATTCTTCTCTTTTGCCTTATCAGCAACCTGTCGAAGCGAGCCTTCGCCGGGCTGACTGAAAAAGCCAGCCGACCTCAGCTGGTCATCAAACTCTTATCCACTCCCACGGGAACCAATAGGGGATAAAATATGAGTTATCTTCCCGCCGTGCCCACGGAAGGGGGTCTATCAATTCGAGAGAAGAGCTATTAATATAGCCACGGGACCGGATTTAACCCCCTGGTCCTCGGAGACCCACTCCGGCGGTAAAAACCTTTAACCCTTCTTAAATCCTTGAAAAAGCATTGTGATGTGAGAATCCACATTCACATTCCTCGATCCAAATTTGTGGTTTTGTTTTAGCAGTTAATGGTGCGCAAATTATTAAAGATAAAGAGAATTAAATACGATGAAAAATATAGCAAATAATAAAACAAAGTGTTGTAATAAATAGTATAATATTTGTTATAAATATCTACATACACATAGATAAAGTTATATGGAATTTATGAAAAACTGAAAAGATACGTGTCATTTTTTTTGTAAAACTTTGCTTCAAGTACATAAGTTGCGTGCTTTATGATAAATATTTGATACTTGGCAAGTGACATGTTTATCGCGATGGCGGTTCTGCGTGCTGCCTGAACATCCTGTGAATGATACGAGGGTACTCTTGAAGCACCCTTGAAGCGCGATTCGTGTCATTAACAGACGTTGTCCATTATTCACTCGCGTGCATCCTTCTATTTGTTACAGATCGACACACATAGCTATCTGTTTGAGTCAAATAGAGCTTTAATTTTAGAACAAATAGAATTCAATCTTTTATATAATATTTTTTAATACAAAATTTTCTATTTTCTATTTTTTTTGCCGTAATTTTTTGTCACGATCTGCAGAGAATTTATAATTACTTTTTTTTTGTATATAAGAGACAACAGTAAAATGAATATTCTGTAATATTCTTCAATTTAAATTTAAATAAATACTGATGCAATAAAAAACGCGTACTTAAAAGTAAAACATTAATTTAAACAAGAAGATTTGAATTACTTCGTAATTTATCGCATACTTTTTAAAATTTAATTGTAGTAATAAAATTGAAATAGCACTTTACATTTCTCATACGAAAATTATTATAAACTTTTTAGGAGTATCCATTTAGTTGAAAAGAATATTAAGTATAAACTTTTTTCTCTACATAAGACGCACAGGCCTTACTTGAGAAGCGTGCTTAAAGCAAGTGATTAATGCGATTCGCAGCTGAAGCTGGCGCACACGACGCCCTTCCATTCACTTTTAAATTCGTCCAAGGTGCCAACCCCAAAAGCCGCTTGATATATATTACAGGGGATGTTAATTACCCTCACCCTTAGCGTAATGCTCGTATACATATGTGGAAGTTCTATGTTTGGTAGCGTAAAAATTACTGATTAGGAAGGAACGCTAATAGAAGTTAATTCCTAACGGCAAGTATATTCTTTTAAGAGAAAGAGAAGATAAGTTTTATGAAAATACAAGTCAGACATTTTCTGTAAAGAAGATATCTCTATAATGATAAGGATTAAATAATAATTAAACTTCCTCAAGAAAGATTAAGAGAAATTAGAAACTTGTAATTAAGAACTCGGAGTTGACTTGAAGGAAGTTGAACAAGTGATCCGAATTTCTTCTCTTAACAAATGGTTACACTTCGAACTTTGAACTTCACGTACACTCGCACAGTCTTCACCGACCTATCTTTTTAAGAGCGATTATTTCAGCTTTACCATAAAAGCGAAATCACGGCGCTCTTTCTCGATTCTATGTAATCTGGAACATGGATATGAAGGAAACAGAGAAGGAGGAAAGAGGACCGACCGGGGAACGAGGGAGGCAGTTCTCTTTGTACGAGTTTAATCCGGCATTGTCAAGGCACGGGCTTTTATTTCAGGCTTGCGGAGGATGGCATGGCACCGCGGCGCGTCGATATAAGAGGAGAATTCTGTTCTGCAAATGTGCTCCAGGGAACTGATCCAGCTGTTGCTCATGCGTCGGATCTTTCTATGCGCGCTTTTCGTTTGCCATTTTAATCAAGACTTCCAGGAAGGAAGTTCCCGTCGCAGTACAGTCCACGCAGAAAAATCGCAATTCATCTACAATCAAAATAGCAAAAAAAAACAAATCCGTAACTGCGCCAATCTCCAGATAAATTGGAGATCTTTGCAGTAAAATGTGTTGAAGAGTTTCGTAAAATAAGTATAAAAATCATTTTAATTATACTATAAACTCGTCAATTTAAAAAGTATTTATCATTATCACAGGTTATTATTGTATCCTAAAATAGATACATTGTATTCTTGAAAGATATTGTGGTATATTCTGATAGATGAATTGCCATCTTTTTCTGTACATAAATCATTCCCTAGAGACTTCTCACACCGATTTTCAGATCAGGGATTGTCTGAATCGAGGGAGCAGATGCGCCTGGATGCAAATCGTGGATTAATCTCGCCAACCCCATGCATGTCTCGTCCATACCCCTGACCCCTATCACAGCTCGAAGGGTTCCATTGAATTCGTGTCCACAGATATACAAGGTGAATCACAAGTTGCGCATTTTCTCGCGAACCTTTTTGTAAATATAATTTGCATTGGATTTTCTGTCTTAAAACGTTCGACTTACCATCGTATTTTTTCACAATTTTTGATATATTATATATAATTAATAATAAATCTAAAATTTAAATTTATGTGGAAAATATTATATGTTATCTATTTATAATGTAAAAATATATCGTATGTTATAATATTTCCCATCATATTTGAATACTTGTTCAAATTTTCCGCATAACAAAATTATTTCTAACACAAAAAATCCTAATGCAATCTGACGCCAGCCCCTCTTAGCGTCCTAATCGCGGTTTATGCTAGTAATACATTACGGGCTGACTGCCTTCGACCATTCTCATGTAAAATCATTTGCAGCGCCTGATGTTCAAATCTCAACTATCTCGAAAGGAGCGTATCGATTTTATACTATATATGCTATGCGCATCGAGTTTGAGATGTTTTTCAAAGAAGTCCATTATACGTAAGCCCAACTAAGCCCCAATAAACTATAAAACTCTCGTGGATGGAATCTCCCCTACATAGAACGTATGTGCGCGATATTCAAATGCAGAAGTAAATAAAATTGTAAATAACGCAATAAACATTCATATAAAAAGATATACACAGGGAAATAATATTTAATTTAAAAATACGGTGACAAATTATCTATGATATAGTTTAATTAAAAAATTATTAACACAAATTTATGTCTACTTTTTTCACGATTCAACTACTTAATAAAATATATTAGAATATATTAATCAAAATAAATCAATACTAAATTTAGCACTCACCGTTCGATGCCGGTCAATCTCGGATGCCTGTACTTTCTCGACAGAAGCAGTCCACCACCCCAAGCCGCCTGGGACAGAAATAAATGATTACTTTTGATAATAGATTAAATACTTGATGATGGAAAAATGATGCGAAAATTTAATATAAAAGAAATGCAGGATTTTTTAAATCATTTTTTAATCTGACTTATAGATCCGGTATTTTCTGAACTTCCCCTATAAAGCGAATGTAGTACTGGTGCAACTTCTGCCGCTTCCCACATATATTATGTAGATTAAGGTTCTTACTCGTTTGGCATTTACAGCTTAAATCGTGTTTGAATGAGCTTGATTGCATAAGCACATCTAGTTTGAAACGGTATTGCTTAAGCAGGCCTTCGAAGTTATTCAGTTAAATTCAGTTTAATCTCCTTTTTATTATGTACTATTTTATTATTTCATGTAGCTATTATTAGACGAATTGTGTATAATATACAAAATTAATTGATAATTTATATATAATATATATAATATATATATTCTTACATCATACTCAACATCTAAAAAAATTTGGAATCATATTACATTATATAATTATTAAAATGTTTAAACAAACATTAAAATTATGTGTTTTAAAGCACAATCATGTATAAATACAAGATAAATATGTATTAAATATTATGTATGGTAGGTATTTCGTATTTTTTTTTCGAGAAGCGTTACTCACGTCGACATGCAGCCATAGATTGTATTTTTGGCAGATATCAGCGATTTCCGGAATCGGATCAAATGCACCAATGACTGTTGTTCCCGCAGTGGCATTCACGAAAAACGGTATGTGACCTTTGGCCTTACGCTCCAGGATTAATTCCTCCAGTTTCGACGGAATAATGCGACCCCGTTCGTCGCTAGGCACCATCACGCAATTATCCGTACCGAGACCGCAAACAGACGCGCATGATTTCACAGAATAATGGCACTGCAGGCATTAATAATCCACAGTATTAATGATGAACTATAAATTTCCTCTTATGAAGGTATACGAAACGTTAATCAACTTTTTAAAATTTGTGTAATTTCGAAATTATTATTATAATAATATTATTATAATAAAAAGTGTTTTTAACAAATTTATGATCTAATGCTTTTTACGCGATATGTAATATGATATGTATCTATTATACTATTCAATTTTTCTGTAATTTTCATTTTCTGTTAAGGTTTTAAAAGTTGAATTTTGTGAAGTATAAACTTTTGAAAAAATGGCAACAGTGAATTACAAATCAAATATTTAGATATTGGCATCACGAACCTGATCGGACGTAAACATAACTAGCTGTCCTCCAATAGCAGAGAGTCCTTTTTCTTTATAGTACGGGAACATTTTATGCCTGGCCGCAAGAAAGGCGTAAAGATTGCTAATAGATCCTCCTGGTGCGAGAATAGAGTCACCGCCGTTCCAGCCTATAAGCTCGCGCATTTTTTGTAGAACAACATGCTCCATTAGAATGAATACAGGAGCGATTTCGTAGGTAAACATGTTTGTGTTTGCTGTCGCAGTTAACCATTCGCCAGCCATAGACATTAAATCGAGACCGCATGATAGTTGATTGAAGAAATGTGGATGTCCTAAAAAAATCAAGAGGAAAGAATTCCCTCAGAGAAAAATCGCAGTCCGATTTCATTTGAATAAATTTCACTAAAGTGCGTATCCATGTCGAAAATTATGCAAAGGTGACGAAAAATTAATTACTACTTTGCCGATAAATCATTCTGCCAATCGTGACTGCAGTGATTGTTGACAAGTGGTTCTTAATAGCAAAGTAATTAATAATTTTGACATGGCACGTGTCCGAGTGTTATTGTGTTACACACGACCTTGTAATACCGCGTAAGTTAAAGGCACGCAAGAGGAAAGGCGGCAAGAGAGAGATTTAAGCTCTTCCCGAGTACGTTGTCATCCGCTCGGCTGAACATCGCGCGAGGATCAGGCCTAATGCTTCTATTCGATGGGAGCCCAGCCTTCTGATGCAACTAGGGGAGCGAGTACTTTATTTTCTCTCTCTTTTTGACATAAATGCCTAGACATTTCAGCCTTCTAATCCGCTATTTGCGTTCCGCGTTAAACTCATTTAGTTATTTAAGTCGATATTTTTAAAACATGTTTATAAAAAAAGAAAGTGCAAAGAAACTATGTATAAACAAAGGAGAGGAAAATGATTGATCGAAGTTTAAGAAAAAAATATTTTCTCGTATTTTCTTCCATATTTCACCCGGAAACAATCCATGGAACACATATAGACATAAAAGAACCCTACGAGCACTATCACCTTCTTTAGGATAGCATAAATCCCTTGATCCTTGAAATATGATGGATTCACTTCGTTGAATATCCGGTATCGAAAAACTTTGACCCTTGTGTGCACGATAATCTTATGCTTTATCACACGCATGCTGATATTTGAGAAGCATTGTACAAAAAATTAAACAGACTTAAATATCTCAAATTTATATCGCAAAAATTATTTTATAAATACATTAGATAGCATTTATTTTATTTAAAAAGTAAAAATTTTTAACACTGATAATATTATTTCAAGTTTACGAGAAATATTAAGTATAAAATGCGCACGCGTTATTCGTCTATTGATATCACACTATTTAATCTTCTGATTTGAAGCAATGATTGACACATGGCATTACGAGCTACGGACATTGCCCTTCACTGACAGCAGCAACAGTATGGGATTCGACGCGTGGTAAAGTCGAACCGACGTTAAAGGCCTGGAAGGATAATCTCCAATTCTTGTCGGAGGATTCTCTTCACGAACGCGGACTACGTATTTCCATTAAAGGAATTCCATTAATGGAAAACGATTATGTAAAAAATAGTATGAATGGTCTTTAAAAAAAGATTTTCATCGTTACGACTATAAATTGAAACGAATGATATTCTTTTTATTGAATATGCTTTATCTGTTATAGGAAAAAATTTCTAATTCACGTATCACGAAATAAGATTTTAATTCAATTTTCGAAGTTCAATTTTTCTGTTTGGTACTCTTCAATGTCCTCCATACACAATAAGAGAGTTATCAAGCTTAAATCTCGAAAATTGGATTCAAATTTTGTTTTGTTCAGAATTGTATCGTATTCGAAGTTGTGCCACTTATTCTATGCTTTTTATATAATCTCTATAATATTAACAGTTTATATTTCTTTTCTGCTCTAAAAATTTGTATCAATTGCAAACACCTGATAGACTTTACTTTCTCATCCATCTTGGAAAAAATTTTGACTACTTCAATAATCTTTGTAAATAGCTATACATAGACCATCATCGATCGAAGCACATACGTATATCAACGGTTTGACACGAAAATCGCCTCAGACACGATATCAGATGGTGGTATTTGCCGTTTGTCGTACTGTTATTTGCAATTATCTCGGTCCGTGGATCGTGGCACGCGTCCGGTCTGAGGGGTCTGCGAGAAGACGATCTTCTCTCTTCTTCCCGTCTGGCAGGAGCGACAGAATAGCGTCCTGGCCAAGGGTGGAACAGGGTTCGATGGTCCGAAGCGCCCGCATTTTGCGCGTCATACGCGTCGCTGCTCGACTAGATTGTTTGCAGAGGCTCTCAAACGACTCTACTCGTATACCGTTCAGGAAAAACAAACACGTACGACCAACTGGTGCAAGATAAGCCGCTTTGCGTTATGCAGATTTGTGTCGCGAATTCAGGATTGTATGACATTCTAGCATCTTCTTGTAGAAACTACACTGAATTAACTACTCTCATATCTCGTATTATTATAGCTGATATTTTCATTCCTTATTTATATAATTTCTATGTAATTTTTTATACGAACATAAAATGATGATAAAACAAAGATTGGTGAATCTTATTTTGAATGAAATAAATTAATTTAAAGTATAAATTCAAAAAGATTGTGTTCGGTTATTTTATTTCTTTTTGCAACCATGTGTTTGCATTTAACTAAATGTTGAAAATTAACTGTATATCTATGGATTATGATTTTCAGTTACAATACAATAAACGATTTGTCTCAACCCCGGTTGGTCCTTCTTAGCGATTATGCTATCCAGGGAATCATTTTCCGACTAATTTGCTCCTGCCCTCGCATAGACGGGAAAAAGAGAACGCAAGGAGAACCTGCTTTGAGCAGGCTGCGGTGATATATTATAGGGCTCAGGATTTGTATGGAGCGAAGTGTGTAACTCGGGCTTAACATTAATGTTGCACAATCAATCATGCTGCTCATAAGGAAAGTAACATTGTACTTGGCATTGCTGTTATATTATGTAGCATATTATAAAGCATTTTGCGAAATATTGTATTGTAATATGCCTCTTTTACGTCTTTTGTTTATTATGAAAAAAATTGTAACTTTTATTTTACTACTGAAACATATAAATATTGCTACTAAAAGATAGAAACACTCTGTAAGTTGTTTTACGTTTTGAGAAAAAATGTATTAAAAATATCTAATTGTGTATTTTAATATCTAATAATATTGTTATTATATAGTAAGATAAATTTATAAAATTATTTCTTACCAATCAGATAACTTACAAGAAATCGGGTGCAACGTCCTTTTATTTTGCCAATACGAACAAATACGGGCAGGGTATTTTAAATGCTTGGTATGTTCGATCTTTTTCAACAAAAACCATCATCGTCGAATAGCTCCCACATGATACGGCGTTTTTCGCATTCCGTGACGAACCGATTTGCGCATTCCACGACGAACTATCGATATCAATTTAAATTCCTCCGCGTGATGCTGCAGCTCGGTGCTGCCATGCAAAAGCTTTCGCGAAATACCGCTACCCCTATATCGCGTTGTACCCTCCGCAGCTGGGTTTCGCCCCTATTTACTGTTTCCCCTCTATCCTTTTAAGGAAAAATCATGTAGAAATGGCTCTTAATTACACCAATCCTATTGAAATTTGCCATCCCAATAGTGCTACGTGAAAACTTATTTTAGTAATAACGCAGTAGTGTTTTCATACCACAGCTATAATTTGGACAATTTTCTATTTTTAATTATAGTTATGTAAAAGAAAGTTAAATCTATTAATTATTTTTTAAATCATATATTTTTTGTATTTTTATATTACTTGTGACTTTATGTAATAATTTTATAATATTATTTTATTTCCCTAGTAATTATAATCTATGAATAATAGAAAGATCTCCTCCCCTAATTCAATACTGGGTATTTTATATATAATAATAAAAATACCAGATGACAGAAATGGATTGCGCGAAATATTATTCGAGATGATGTATGTGACCTAGAAAAAGTTACATTCAAGCCGATAACATTTAGCTTCTTTTCAAATAGCTGGAATTTCGATATGTTACAAATTTCTAGCGCTTATACAAGTTTTGTAGATTTTGTAGTGAAACATAAATTTTGTTGAATTCCACTACATTTATCAATGAATATGTGACTTGAATATACTTATACATAAAAGTACGACAATCATAAAAATTGTATCAATCGATCAAGTTGATTAGTAAGGTTGTTATTTACAACTTTGTAATCAATAAAAATATCTTTTAATATATATTGCTCATTTTGTTTAAATTAATTTATATATTGTAATTTCTACTCTTCTATATTATATTTTTTTATTTCAGAGTGGCGTTAAAAACTACTATCGTTGTTGTAAGTGCATATTTATCTTTATAAAGGATTATCCTCAATCAGCCTGAAGTCGAAAAAATAAACTTTCATCAATTTTTTTAAAAAAGTGTATGTATAGTTTTTGTATACAAATTTTTATATTTGAACGAACCTTTTCTGACAAAATCTACATATTCTTTTATGCAAAAATATTAATTTATAACAAAATTATAACAGATGTTCGGAAAGTCGTTTGTTTTCAAAAATCTTTTTGATGATCAAGCAGTACTGCTTGAAACCAGATCATTAAAAATATAAGAAACTTAATAAGATTTAGATAATATTGAGTTTATCTAATCTTTAAATTAAACAATCAATATTTTGATTAATTAAATTCCGATAAAATTTAAAGTTAAGTACCGATTTTAATTTAAAAACCGAATATTTTTAATCCATAAGATAAAAAAGATTCTTTGATTAAAAACTAATAGATTTTGATGTTTAAAGAAAAAGTACATAAAGTTAGAGATAAATTAGTGTAACAGTTTCTGAGATATCTTGCGGTTTTGAAAAAGTAATTTTGAGAAAATCTTAATCTCGAGGTTTTGAAATGCAGTCTACACTAAATATTTTTCAACTCACACAGTCATCTATTTCAGTACCATACAACTGATATAGCACATTGTATACTTTTAAAAATGTAATTTTTTAAAAATCAGTTCTTTTTTTTAAATTTCTAACTATATGCGTAACTCCTTAATGTTTGTTAAAATATCTATTAGAATGTATTGTTTTATCGATCATATACTATTATTGTCGATATCTATTAACTGACTTGAATTTATAAATACTATTCTCGATACCATATTGTTATCGACACCTTTCAACAGATTTCCGATATATCCCTTCTTCTAAAAGAATGACTTCTGCATTGGTTCGTATCAGTTGATATTTTTCATGGCTAGGACGTTATTCCATAGCCAAGCGTAGATCTCCCTCCCCCGCTACTCCAAACCTGATATACGAAGGGTTCCCGAATCTTGCGGTATATAATCTAATAACAAGTTTTTGTCAGCACGTATCGTGCACGCGCCCTTCGATAACGGGGGGATGATCACGCGGCCCTCGCTTCCTTTTACATGGGTTGCAGACAAACGGGATTCCTGGCCTAAGTTTAGTTAGGTCTGTTCTATTGTGCATTACCATCCATTCAAGCTGGTAATCGAATCCTACCGAGATAGCGAACTTTCGCACGCTGGGAGATTCGCGGTTGACTTGTGGTATTTCATCCAACCTCTGTATTGCTATTCAGTTCGCATCGATAGATGGACGTTATTAAAATAAAATTTTGTAAGCTAAAACTTGTTCATATATATATTAGATACGTTATTTTACTATTCGTGTTTTATTAAAGTAAAATAGGCTTTATTTAAAGAAATTAATTTATTAAAGAAGCCCAAAGAGAATAATTTATTTACTATCTTGTAAAGTTGGTGATAAGAGATTTGTGAAATTAACAAAAAGGAAACAAATTTAAACAAAAGGAAAGAGGATTATATTCTCATATAAAGACAAATAATATATATGTGTATGTAAAAATATTAAATTATATATACTTTCTTAATTTATTATTTTATTTTATTATTGTATATTTATTAACATACTTTTATTAAAATGTTATTAAAATATTTATATGACAAAATCCAGTTGATCGTTAAATATTTTTAAAAGAAGAAAGCCTTACTTTATATGAAACCTGTGTATTTTTAAAAAACTTATACAGGAGTATAAAAATAATGAAGTAAAAATATACAAAGCAGCTTTTTCTAAAAGATGCTTTATTATCTCCAATAATACGAGATGTGACACAAAAGAGATGGCACGGAAATATCTGTTCTATAGCTATTCCGTGCGTCTGTGTCCATATATTGCAAACGACGTCGATGTGACTATATTTCGAGGGTTGGCCGATAGCCGTCGAGTTTCATTGGCAGTGTCTGTCGCTACCTTATCTTCACCCCTGCGAGCGCGTATGCTAAATTGAATATGAAATTATGTGGCTTATCGCCCTAAGGGATAGGGATGTGCGATAACACGGCGTTAAAATACTACTCTTGATAGGGATGCTTGCACTTTTGCAATATCTTTTGATCTACTATTTCAACGTCATGCATTTTGCATTTAGCATTGACATAAATTTGAATAATCTTAACGCATACCTAAATATTTTTACTATAAAAGTAAAAAGTAAACTTATCTTTTACGTATACAAGAAAATAAAAATAAATTTTATTAATATTTTCTATTATTTCTGAAACGTCTAAAATTATGCAGAATATTAAATAATCAGAAGAGTTTCTTGGCGTACACATGAAATAATTTTGGAAACTATAGAAATACTAAAATAGGAAGCCTTTTCTGTAATAAAAGTCGATAACAGACAAATGGCTGTTTGATAAGTAAATATTTACATTTTTGTAAGTATACCTGTTTTTCTGTAACTAGATGTTTCAGTTCCGAAACATTTCAAGATGTTTTAATTATAACAAAAATCTTCCTACAAGAAACACGTACATTGAATGGTTATAGTCGAAATATTTTATATTAAATGACAAAATTATAATAAATTTGAATTTGCAAAGTAATTTAAAATTGTTCGTTTTTATGATACTGCGATATTTCTTTATTCTAAACAATTCAAGCTTCCTGTTCTGTTATTTTTTTTTTAAATTGATTATAACTGGATTTTTTAATAACTGTATAACGCGAATGTTCACTTCAGAATATATACAGGTCGCTAATTTAATTTATACTCTAACATTAATTAAGATAGTGAAGTAATTTGTACATTTAAATGTCTATAATTTATATAAATTTTATTAGTTTATTTTCTACTGTTAAAAAGATTTAAATGTTATTTATTAAATTTTAAAATTACATACTATACATTTGCAATATCATCTATTTACAAAATTATACAAATTTTGCTAACTTACATGATTAATGAATTAAAAATAATGAAATAAAAATTGATTGAGATTTTATTATATTTTTGTTCTAATATGAAAAAAAATAGAAATATAGTTTGAATATTCTTACCGGTCTTCACTTGATACTTCAAAGTTGTTGAACAATCCAATAAGAGTTGTTGAAGAGTCAATCCTGTATCAGGAATTTCTAAATCAAGCAGACGCATCATGTCGGCAGGATGATGGAAGTCGAGGATTTTTGCATTTCTATCATTTGTTGATTTGACGAAGTCTAGCAGGATGTCCACTACCTTCATCAAGAACTCTCTAGTCGCCGGATAACCCTCTACATTATGCGGCAGAATATCTGTGAACAAAATAAAAAGTTGCAAGCGCAATTTCTTTGTTTCGTTCATTTCTTAAATAATGATTTTACGATAATCATCAATAAAAAACATGTAATTAGCGACACAATCATGCATGCAGATTGATTTAATTGAAATAACCATACCAATAATGTTAATAAGTTTTTGAAATAAATTATATATTATTATGTAATATTATTGTATGATATATTTTCTTATCAAATTTATATCTTTATAACTTTTAGAAGTAAAATAGAATAATATCTATACAATAATTCAAATACAATACAATGCAATAACTACAATAACTCTCTGATTGTTGGGATCAAGTGAAATCTCTTCTACCATAGCAATTAATACCGTACTGACAAGACTCCTTTTATTACTCAACCTACCATCTTTGATAGTATGGCATCCTTGAAGGCAACGCGTGATTAGAATGATTTCACCTCATCAAACAATTGAAAGTATAGACCTAAATTGACACACTCTCACTTGTTTGGTGGGATGACACCATCTTATGCATATTTTTCTTCTCTCTTCTTCTGTGCTCACAACACACCTGCCTGATATTTTGACACTATGTCTATTAATACAACAGCATGCAATTTATTGCGCTATTATGTACAATACAATTATTTTAATAAATATAATTGCCAAGCTTTACGTAATATTAGAAATTCTAAAAACTATCTTTTTATACTAAACTTACTTAATTTATTATTTTTATTAATAGAATTATAAATCAACTTATATTAATATTAAAATACATGGTTTTCAAATTTTGCATGCTATTTAAAATATCAAAATTATTTTCACAATTGCAAGCAAAGTATAATGACACATACAATGTTCTCTAACAATACATCTGTATAATATATGTATCGTATATGCTAGATTGTTGAATCATACAGATTCAATGAAGACAGAACAAAGTCGTTGCAGTAAAATATTTCAATGCGCTCGTGGTAAATCCTCGGTAAATTGAACTGTCCTTCTATCGTCGCGTAACCATAAAGTATCCCATGAAGTGAACCGTCCCCTCGTTTTCCCATTGCATTAAGGTGATCCCATGGATAAACAGCCGAGCTATACTATGAGACTTTGCTTTTAAATTATTATTTAGCATTTTAAGACGGTGAGATATAAATGAGATTTCTTAAGAAAATATATGTTTTTATTTTCATATCTTTTAATATTGTAGGAAGATATTGTATTTCATTATTTTAATATATATTGATAACGTTACGTGAACACAAAATGCCAAAATTTTGCAAGTTCATATGTTATTGTGTTCTATTAGTTTAATGTGAGTATAAATGACAATTTTATTAAATTTTTTAACATAAAATAAAAATTAATTTAAGCTCGAGTTAATATTCAAGCGAAAATATTTTCTAGAAATAAGAATTTCAAAAGATAGTTTCCTTGACCAGTAATATTTTTCTGACAAGTTTTGCTCTTCGATCAATAGGAATATTTTTTCAATAACGATTATAAAGACGCTGAATAAAAGTCGACTAAAGAAAGAAGGGCGTACGAAAACTTATGGTGAATTGCCCTGAGCCTATGGTTAGACAAGAGAAATCCCCAGCTTCCAGCGGTCGGATTCAACTAATCCAGCTCCATCAATCTAATGTCCAAAGATCTCCTCCTTTTTCTCGAGGTTTATAGCACTTTTCGAGATACAAATAAGTCCGTAGCAGTCGCTCAAGATTTCATTACGTTCTAAGCATCACCTAATTGATGTCTGTTCTATCTACTAATTAATACTTTTCGTTAGAAATGGAATACGCTGTTTGTAATACGCTGTATGTAATACATTGTATTATATTCATATACATGTATATTACTTAAATATGGACAATTTTAAATGCAATAATGTTACTCGTGTTGAATCCTATACTCGTACATGATATCTTATTGATTTTCTCAAATTGTATTGTTCGGAATCGATACATCTACCGTGTATATAGTTATTTGGTACCAGATGTGTCTAGACCCTCGCGTTTCGACTTTAATCAAAGTGCCTTCTAAGGGTAGTTACACGTGGCAATTAGTCACGCCGATTTATAAGCCGGATTACGACCTTAATTTATAGTAATACTGCGGATTTCGTTTTACGATGTAATTCACTTATGTTCGCAAATAAAATTCTCCTTTTTGCATAAGATTTACGATCGTTAATTGTTTAATATAAAAATCATTCTTTAAAGTGAGAAGTCATGGAAATATTCACAGTTCTACAAGCGACACGCGCGTGTCGTTATCGGTCGCTAACACTTCCCGAACGACGAGGATGACAAACCCTTCCGTCTCCCTGTGGCGTGTAATCTGTCCTCAGCCACTCGGCACCTACCAACCTCTTTAGAATAATTCTAAATCCTCTATTATTATGCACCCTTCCGACCGACAGGCCTTACGAAATTAGGACAATATTGTGACTCTTGGATTTTGCTCTCAAAAAGCCAAACCTGTGCTTGAGTAACATAGAATAATGTATTGTTGTAATTTGTTTTTTTTTTAATTTGTACGTCAATTTGAGTACCAAATAATGATGATGAGATATTACAATTATTATTATTACAAATGTAGTTTAATACCCAGACAGCACAGAACATCCATTGGAGAGAGAGAGACATCCGGACTTGGTTTCAATCTAGTCCAAACATCCATGGACTTAGCATGAATTTTAAAAACGCACGTTATTCAACGTATAAAGTATGTTTACATTTAAACATTTAAAAAATGTTTATCTCATGCAAAAAATGTTCTAAGTCTGACGTGTTGCTTTCGCTGATTTGCCAAGTGAAAATTTTTGGATCGCACGAGGAATTTTACTTTTGTTACCTTCGCGAAACTTTACCAAATTAAAAAAAAAAAGCTTAATTCAGACAGCACGCAACAAGCGGCAAGCGTCAAGCAACAATAGCTTGCTGCTCGCAGTGATAAGAGTTAGGAATCTTTTGCTTCCAGCGTGCAAATTTGTTCTGGATTGTGGTCTAAAATTTGTTTAATATATTAATTTAGTCAAGTTGTAGTCCATTGCATCCTAAAATGGACGTCTTTAAGAAGTCCAAATGTAACACTGGATGTTTTTAAATTATCCATGAATCTAATCTGAATATTTTTAATACGTCCAAACGTCCGACATGTACGTTTTAAATACATTTTTTAAATATTACTGTGCTGTCTGGGTATATAAATAAGAAGCAGCATTCATGCACGTTTATTAGTTGTTCGCGAGATATTTATCTTTTTACCAAACTCATGCAGTATTCTAATAAATATTAACTAAAAACACTCTCATAACACTGTCACTTACCCGAATACTTTAGGTTGCAATGCTCTTTAGAGAGCGAGTAGGTGTTTTCGGAGCTCATTAGTCTGGTAGGTGAATGCGTTCGTGCGAAGTTCTGAAATCCAAAGTAATAATATTCTTTTTACGATATACTTTGCACGCATATATAACGTTTAATTTAATTAGATTAATTTTTAGCAAATCATAAAAAGTAAATTTTTAACCAGATTTAATCAAATCAATTTAAATTTAAAAATCGCTTATCTAAATTGACCATATTAATTGTTATAAGTATCGGCAATCGTGTGCTGGAAACTAAGAAATTAACACGATTAGTCTAAAAATTCCTAGTTGTATAGTTACGATTGAAATCAGAGAGATAGACATTGTCGACAATGTTTCCACCAACACCACTATGCCCATCGACTAGTATGCAATATATACATATATAATACAATTCATTCATTAACATATAAACATTGGAATTGTATAACTTCCGTGTGCTATTATAAAAAGTTTCGGTTTGTGTTGTACAATTTGAATGTAAAACGTATTCGAAAAATAAAAGGAATCTGAGGAATTATTCCTTTGTAAATGTCAATTGGTTTCACCGATCAAATATAAAAACAAGGATATAATCTACAATACTTAATTAAATAAAGATATTTGTTAAAAACATTGTCGACGTCGATCTCACTAAATGAGCAGACGTAATGAATGACGTGCAATGTGGATGCCTTACATATAAGTATTCCTTGATCGCTGTGATTTTAGTGCCGATCATTTGCACATTGTCCATGTCTCTGCTTGTGTCCCTCGCCTCAACAGTTCCTACAACAATCAACAATAGATTTCGCTTCAGTCACGACGTACTGCGGCGTCGAGTCTTCGGCGAGTTTCAGCGTGATTGCGAAATTGTTAAGCGAAAATTGTCGTGGTAACCACGATAGGCTGAGCGACCGAAGAAACATGGACAGAGAGCAGTTTGTGGACATTTTTAATTAATTCCTAGAACACAAAGCTTTAGCATTTTTGTTATATCGAAAAATATATTGCAAATTCCATGCTAATCGATCCATATTTGTTCTTTTCTCAATAAAATATATGCTTTGAAAGCAAAAGCAGTAACGGTTATAGTTTAAGATTAGTTCTCTGAAACCGTATACAAAAAAATATATATATATATAATATAAAATTAACATTAGAAAATTTAAATAATAATTATTAAAAAACTAATAAAAACCAATAAAAAAGAAATAGGATATTAATATGTAAAAAATTATAAAAAATAAAACATGGAATTGTTGCTCAAATATAAAGAATAAAGTTAATAGAAAATATTAGTAAAATATAATATGATAAAATAATATAATATAATATAATAACGTAAGAATGACTTATACGTATATAACAGCAAGTATACAATTAAAACATGTGCATAAGATAGGTAAAAAATCCTTGAATACGTTAAGAGTCGTGCTTTATATTATTTTAAATTTTAATAAATAAAAATGTAATGCTAGAAAAGCACAACACAAATCAATCATACTCAATCGTGTGCTATCGCAGATAGAAAACAAAAGATAGAAAAGAAGTTGGGCTTATAAAATATAATATTTTATATGTACGTATATAAAGTCATGAAGATTCTATAGAATTCTATAAGAAGATTCTATAGAATTGAACAGAGCAAACAACGGATAAAATTTAGTTTATCATTGGCTATGTTCAACAGAAAAAACTTTGTTATTGTTGTAAAATAGGTTCTTGTCTTAATTTCCTCACGAATCTATATGTATAAACCAATCATATTTAAAAAGTTTTAATAACAGTTGCAAAGCTGCTTTTTCTGATGAACGCAGCTAATAACTACTATACAAATATGTAACCGTAGAATAAATAAACTCAGACTAGAAATTGCACTTTGTGTTCTAAGTTTACTTAAAAGATAGTCTTCTTGAATTTTTCAAGCAATCAGAGATCGCTTTGCTCTCTTAATCAATAGAGCGGTCCTGGAAGCATGAGAGATAAGCTGGAAAAAATCCGAAAGATATTCACCGACTCCTTTATATAACATTAAACATGCACTAGAAGAAGATGTAAAGAAGAGATTAGAATGTTTATGAAACATGCATGATTAATGAATGTATTGAAAAAAAGAATGTATAACATTAAATATCTACTAACAAGGGAACACAATCAGTTGGATCTCTCCGATTTAAATGAGCTTTTAGTATGTTGTTCTATAGACAAAAATAAGAAACACGTATTTTTTTATACGTGCGGAGTCGCATGTTAAGGGGGTAAAATCTTCCCTTAAAGGAAATCGTTTTTTTCTTTCGAAGCGAATATCTTCGAAACTATAAGAGATAGAAAAAAATTTCTAAAATAAAAATTGAATGGTTGCAAGAGTACTTTACAACTATAATAAACAAAATTTTTTAAACTATTTATTTATTATATACCCCCACCCTCCACTCTTATTTTCAAAAATTTTTTAATTCTTTGTATGACAAAAATTAAAGAGAATTTTACGCTGAAAACAATGATGTGTATTTAAATCACGCGTTCCGAAAAATCATTTTTCAGATATGAATGAAAACGTCTCTTTATACGCCACTCCATACGTACCGCGTTGAGGGCACAGGATATCTACCGTTGAAAGGCTAGTTATGTAATAAAGAACGTTTAATTTAAAACATGAAGATAAAAATAATTACAAACGTTTCGACACCGATCGAGTTTTAATGTTATAGTAAATACATTATTATAAAATAATTAAAAATCTACAATATTGCTTCATAGTGGTATTATCATTTTCTTCCCATTATCAAAATGTTGCAAGTCAATCAATTAAAATAGTAAGATTGGTAATTGAAAAATTCATAGTAGTAATGCAATAATAATTTAATTGTAAAAAGCGACCGTTAACAAAGAAAAATTAATGCGATTACGCAAAAAAAAAATAATTAGATTTCGCTCGTTTTTTACAATACAAAATATACAGAAACGTCTATGTAAATCGATCGATAATAAGATTTTTTTTTATATAAATTAAATTTATAGTTTTTAATGTTAGTATTACATAAAATAAGAATAAAAAATATATAAAGTACAAAATATTAAAAATCTATTAGAGTACCTAACGTTTTGGAACTCACTGATCCTTCTTCAGGGATTCTTGAAGATGTTACAAAATCATAGAGATGAATAATCTTACGATGTAAGCGACATAGTGTGGTATAATTGTTCAGAAGAATTTATTCACCTGTTTTTATGTAAATTATGTCTAAAAAGTGAGAAATTCATTGTCGTCAATATGAAATAAAAGTAGTCAAGAGGGTAAAAGCAGGATAAGCGATTTAAATAAAAAAATATAAAATTTAAAAAAAATGTATTTATTTTATTAAATAAAATGTTGAGGGTAAATAAATAAATAACGCAAAAAAGTCGGTAATGCACAGTAAGCTTATAATAAGTATTTAAAAAATGTAATAAAAAATAAAATCAAATTACATAAATATACTGTTTCATCAAATTCTAACAATTAAATAAAAAAAGTAAATAAAACATATATGATTATTTCAGTTAAAAAAAAATGTTAAAGTATGAAAATACTAAAGTAATAAAAACTTTAAAAGTTAACACTTACTGATAAAGCTCCGTAATACTCTCACAACTGGTAGTACTTATTCATCGAAACCAGATACAAAACTTCGAATTTGTTGGGACGACCTGTGCTTTTTATACTTATGTTCGGGTCATGAACATACGCTGAATATACCATACGTCAGCATATCTACCCAAGCAACATAAAAAAGTCACGACGACGCCGATCCGACGTCAGTGATGCAACTATTAGTTAGCAATATGACGTCGACGCGACGTGGATTCAAACTGCAATTCGACCAAAATGGTCACACAAATCATAGTAGGTACGACGTCGCGCATCTCGACTTTTAATTGAATTTTGTACAAATACTTATATTTAATCTGACGTCAGATTCTGTACAACAAATGCAACTTAAACTAACTAGTCGTTCATTTAAGTAGAAATTAATATACATAAACTGCGTATTACATTTTGTACAGAAAAGTTGACCAACACTACACTTACGATTAAAACTTATATGTCAATTCTATACCTATTTCATCATTATGCATAGTAAATCCAAGATAATATACACAAAGATGTAGATTAAAATGAAAGGACATTGTACGTTGAACAAAATTATACTCAACTTTAAATGTAATGTCTTAAGTGTTTGGGTATTCGGTGTTCGGAACCGTAAACAGTCTTCGTTATTTTGGAAAATATGCGCGTTTAATATATAATATATTAAATACAATATATTACTATATATGACGAAATTTTAATCGTAGCTATAAATACACCAATTCTATTGTATATAATTTATATGAATTTTGTGTGACATTGCGGTTGTTAATCAGATAGTTGTTATACTAATGTGCTGTTTGGGTATTTTCCATCTAGATTAATAAGACGCAATGATTTGCAATACATTATTTATGTTAACATTGAGCAATTAACTGCTGTAAGATCAAAATGAAAAATATTAAATGAAACAATATTTTACGAAGATAATTTCTTCATTCATATTTTGATTTTAATTGTCCGAGGTACATTTTTGTGTATACATATATTATAAAAAACATTTGACTCTAGTTTCAGAAGTTTAACAAGATCACTATTACTATTACTGTTATTATTATTATCATTATTATTATTATAACATTATTATTGTAAAAAGCCCTTATTATAATAGTTAGTGCGATAATGATGCGTACTGGACTGTATTCATTGAATGGTATCTTGTTCTCCCAACGCGGTACGAATACGTATGGAGTGCGTATAAAGAGACGTTTTCATTCATATCTGAAAAATGATTTTTCGGAACGTGATTTAAATACACACCGTTGTTTTCAGTGTAAAATTCTCTTTAATTTTTGTCATATAAAGAATTAAAAAAATGTTGAAAATAAGAGTGGAGGGTGGGGTATATAATAAATAAATAGTTTTTTTATTATATAGTTGTAAAGTACTCTTGCAACCATTCAATTTTTATTCTAGAAATTTTTTTCTATCTCTTATAGTTTCGAAGATATTCGCTTCGAAAGAAAAAAACCGATTTTCTTCAAGGGAGGATTTCACCCCCTTAACATGCGACTCCGCACGTATAAAAAAGTACATGTCTCTTATTTTTGTCTATAGAACAACATACTAAAAGCTCATTTAAATCGGAGAGATCCAACTGGTTGTATTCTCTTGTAAGATGTATCTGTTGTAAATATTTCTTCATTTGTATCAATACATAAGAGTATATTTTATTTTAAAATAAAGAAAAACACGCGTATGTATAATCATAATCCATATTAAGTTTACGGACAGTTTAGGAAATAAACAATTAAATCTCTTTTAATGCTCTCTGTAATGCTTTTTACATTTATTTAATAATTTTTTAAAGAATCGTTAGTAATATTATTGTGTGGTGTATGTGCGTATGTGTGTTAGCAATATCATTTTTAGTTCGCATTTTATTTCTTCTTCAGTTTACACATAATTCGTTTCTTAAAGAATTATGTGTGTGTGTTTTTAATATCATCTTTTATTTAAATTGCTTCTAAAATTTTTTTACAAAAAATCCAGTTGATTTAGTTTCAAATGGTCAAAATTTAAAAGCTTTTGTAAAGCAAAATAGCAAAAGATTATCCATGTATAGAAAAAAGATTATAATAATAAGTTAATTTTAAATTATAAAGCTATATAGATTACTACCATAATAAAAATAAA